ACCGCAGAGGCCATGGATGGCTCCTTCAGCCGTCTCAGTAGCAGTACTTAAATGTAGGGCTGCCAAGTGCAGTCCTTTGCCGGTGGTCATTATCACATGCCAGGCATTGCGAGCACGCTCAAAAGGCGCACAAATGTCAGCATTTCCTTGACATGCACTCTTTCACACTATCATCTTTTCTCCTGAGATCTGACTATTAACCCATAAGTCGCACATCGCAAGATATGAATAAATCATTGTTGAGATTGCACACATCAAGGTGGGACTGCCTTGTTTTATCTCCGCGTCATAGTTTCTCAGCTCAAGAAGAAATCATGTCAAGTGAACGCAATATCGTCTTCTTGCCCCTTCTATTCATACCACTCTGAGATGCCTTCTTCCTTGTAAAGATGGAAAAAAAAAGAAATAAAGACATGAAAGCCGAGGAGCTTACATTATTGCTATGGGAGATCATGTTATTCTTGTCGCGTACATCACAACTTGTTCAGAAATGGTTCAGAAAATTCTAGTCCACTATTCGGGATAATTTCTGGGCAACAGACTCGTCACTACCTGAAGAGCGTCCTAAAATGTGTCATCGTGATTAATACGGCATGCCAGACAGACTGTCCGATACTTGGAACATTCGCACTCGCATGCGAACAGCGCCAACGGGCAACTGTCACACGAGCCGACGTAAACCACAAGCGCTCATCATTGCACCATACAGTTTGAGCTTATGAAGCACAAAGATGCCAGACACGGTAGTATTACTGCAAAAAGTAATAATTTGCATTGCTCATTACCTTTCCACAATTATACAGAGTGTAATTACACTGCGTATACGTACACGGGTGAAACTAACGGCATCATGATTATACCTGGGAAAAGTAATAAAATTACGGTTGAAGTTACTTCACAAAAGTTCATTATTGATGTCCGAACTCACGTAAACCGTATCTACATGGCATGCACACTGAAATCGCAGAAATTTTTTAAATTACTTTAAAGTTACGTTAGCAAAAAATCATTATTCATACACGAACTCGCGTTCGCCTTACTTTACAACTCTTGTTCACTGAAACCTAAGAGATGTTATGAAGTTAGTTTAAAATTACTCTTCACCAAAGTTCATTATTCATAAACTAGCTCACGTACACCTCATTTTTATCTAATTAATAATTATTTAATAACTACAATTATTCTTAATTATCACTCAGACTTTCTTGATTTAATACAATTCCTTATATTATATATACTTTCGATCTCTAACGTCAGAGTTAATTGACCTTCACCCAAAAATTGTGTTTTGAGGTGAGTTGACTGAAAAAGACGAATGCGTGCTTTGTGATGCTTCCTTACCCTCCCCTCCCCCCCCCCCCCCAAAAGGACCTGCAACACATTTTCAAGTGATCATCGAAATAATTATTTAAAGTAGTGCATTGCCTGCGCATCGACTGCCACAAAAGCTTTTAAAATCCTCAAGGTTCCAAAGGATTTATAGCTGTTTGTCGCACGATTTCAACTCTTTATCTCTCCTTTCGTATCAGCCAGCATGCTGTAAGCTATACGCAGGAGGTTGGAGGCAGGAGAGGAGGGGGGGGGGGGGGGCATGACAAAGAGGCAACAAGAAGTCGAGCTCATTCGTCAGCGTGATACGAATTCTGGAGCATTTTTTTTTCCTTTTTCTTCTTCTAATGAGTGGCTTACTTTAGGTACGATCACGAGTGCGCTGGTGTAATTCTATACGCTGTGTAATTCTAGCACTATAGAGTGCAGCGCGGGAACATCACGGCGGCCGCAATAACAATACAGCTAACGATGCTCAAATCAGCCAATGTGTTGAGAAGACGGTGAGCGATTTTATAGCTAACTTTGAGAATAATTTGTGAATTCCAGGTCACTGGCTGCTCTCTTATGTTTGGCTCACATGCTTTCAAGAGCCTCGACTACCGATGCACAGTTTTACAAGACACTTTAAGGTTAAACAAACGAAATGAGGTTGTATAGTCGGGCTATCATACTACGCTGGAAATATGGCCGTATTACTATCGATTGACCAAACTTAAGCAGCGCCACTTTTTTTTTTGCCGAAAAGCAGTCACCTAAGCGATGAACCCCTCGGGCTCTACTGCATCATGTGCTGACGACGACTCTTGTGGGGGTTGTCAGTGGGCGTGAGGGCGGCGCAGCAGCGGAAGGCCAGGGCTACCAGCCAGCAAGAGACCGCCAGCGCTAGCACTGCTCTTGGAGGATCCGACTGCACAAAGATGGCACGCCAGCTTGCACACGCACGCACACGCACGTTCTGTCGCGCGTCATGTTCATTAGTAAATAGGAGTTAAAACTCCTCATACTAATGAGGTAACCGTATTCTAATACCAGGATAGCGAAATTTCATGTCACGATATTGAATGGTGAATACCGGCTAGCGCGCTGCTACGTGTGCGGGATCGGTGAAAGGTCATCTTCGCAGGAGCTCTTGCAGGAAAGCGGCCGCTTATGTTCGGCAGCGCCACCTGGGACAACTCTTGGCAAGCCGGCTGTGCCGGCGACATTCCTTTCCACTCCTGCGCCATCTATTATTCTCCCTGCGCCTGTCTCTACCGTGCTGCAAGCATGCTGTGCCGACCATGTGGTCTGCTCTACTAGGTCTTCCCTACTGTGGCCTGGCTCCTTCTCCGTGCCGCAGACATCTCCAGGAAGCCCACCCGGCAGATGGTCCACCCGCTTGAGATCTGGCCCGAACCCAATCTACGGCTACTATTCAGCTGTCAGCTGCTCCTCCCTGCCTATCATGCCAGCACATCGTCCCGGTGACTGTGGGAGTCGGTTGACGCCTCGTACTTTCCCGGCTGCCTCATTCTCCCTACCGACGAACTTAGTAGGCTAGCTGTCTGTCCTATTAGTGCATTCGTGCCCCGTTCCTCCAAAGCAGCGGGCTTTCCCTGGCGCGTGGAACTTTTGTGTAACACTATAGTCCCGCCCCCCCTCGCCTCAACCTAATAATTATGCCTCCTAGAATAGTAGCAGTACGTGGCGAGCAATAGAAGCAATCATGTGGCCTTGAGCATTGTGACACATACAAGCAAACAAAAAAGCGACGCTTTTTAAGGAGCTCAAAAACACTCTTTGAAAGTTGAAACATAATACCGAACGTTAAAGACTCCCCTTTTTAACTGGCACCATCTTCGTAGCGATAGCTTCAAATAAATTTTGAAATCGAAACTAAACTCGTACCACGATGAACAGTCTGATAGCATCGACAGGAGTGCCGAAGAAGAGGCGCTGAATGCGTGTGAGTGGTCCTTCGTCGTCCTACCGGCCGGCAACGCTGAAATACGTCGCAGTAGTCCAGCTGTTGGTTGCACGGGAAACCCGGAGGAAGGCGCAGGCCGCACAGAGCCTCACGAGCCGAAGGCAAAGCCAGATCACAGCCGGGCTTGCAGGAACCGAACTCTGTTGCCAAAGGTCGGCGAAACATAAGCTCACTTGGAGAGAAGCATGATACACAGATCTTGCACAATGGGGAAAAAAATCCTCTGTTCACAGATGCTGGTAAATCGGTTCCATAGGCATTTCCTTAAATAAGGAACAGCCGGCTCCAGTTTTACGGACACTCCATAGCTTTTTTTTTTGTGTGTGTATCACCAGCACAATTCCGTTAGTTATGCATGCCACATTTTTTGTACTTGTTACACTGCAGAGAGTAACTCAGAAGACCACTCATGATTGCTGAACTGGACACCGATAGCAGAAGAATATATAGGTCTGAAAATGAATAACCATAAAATTAATGTAATGTGCAACAGTCTCGACAGAAAACAGCGCTTTGCGATACGAGCTGAGACACTGGAAGTTGTGAATGAATACGTCTACTTAGACAGGTAGTAACCGCAGAGTCGAACAATAAGAGTGAAATAACTAGAAGAATAACGTTCGGCAAGCATGCTAAAATCCACGAACAGTAGTATACAAATGTCCCTTCAAGAGTACGGTGTATAACGGCTGTAGCATGCCTGTATACTTAGCTGCGGAGCAGAAACCGTGGAGGCTCACAAAGAGGGCAAACTTACATTGAGGATGTTGCAGCGAGCAATGGAAAGAAAAAATGACAGCTGTAACGTTAAGAGACACGAAGAGAGCAGAGTTAGTCGGGAAACGAATGGGTGTTAAAGGCACAGTCATAGATGAAATCAAGAAGCAGAAATGGAGATGGACCCAGGTACGTAGCGCGTAGGCAGGATAACCGCAGGTCATTATGGGTAACCGACTGGATTACAAGATAAGGCAGGCGCGTGAGAGGGAGACATAAAATTAGGTAAGGGTAGATGAGATTAGGAAGTTTGCAGGTATAACGTGGCAGAGAGTGACCTGGTTGACCTGGTTGATGGCCTGGTTGATTGGCGGAATATGGGAGCGGCCTTGGCCCGCCACAGGGCGTAGCCAGGCTGATGATTGATGGCTGCAGGGATGTGCTCACCGTCTTGGCAGGCGAGTAGGCAGAGTTGCTGAGCGGAGTAGCGGTCGCCGGCTAAGCTGCACTCGTGCAGTCCGTACTTGAGGCACACCGAGCGGGAGCACTCGCCCTGGACACAAACGCGGGTGCCTCCAGCACACGGAGTCGTCTCGGCCTTGGCTGGACCCGGGGTGCACGTAGGGTGCTCACCGCTGACCATCCGTTAAGAAGTATTCAGTTTCGACGAATACGTGTACGCAAGCGTTTTAAATGTTTGTCGGGTGGTTCAGTAGAGTGTTAGAATAAAGTATAGGCGAAACGTTCCGTATGTGACTCCAATAATTCCATATGTTTCCGTAAAGAATACATATGTTTCCCATATAGTTTCCATATATTTCCGTAAGATTTTTACGGAACCATACGGAATTATTGAACATCGCATACGGAACGTTTCCGTAGGGGTACGCTGTGTCCTGCTGGATATTTATACATGAATTCGCTTAAACAAAACACCCATGTAAACCATATCACAGGAATACTATGTTCCAGGAAAGTGTGACGTCTACTGTGCCACGGTGCTGCCAAGAAACTGTTTTCTGCTTTGAGAAATTGTATTAGGTATTGTAATACTGATTACATCTTTACACTGCGCGCTTAGTCACTCACGTACTTAATTTACGCAAACGGTGTGTTTTTTTAGCGATTTTGATCTATTGGTCGACACGTCGTACTTTGCTTTCTGTTTTCTTGTTCATATTTTCGTATCACATTTTTGTTTCATTTTGAAGCGTAGATGAGTATTATCAGGTGACTTCAATAAATAAATAAACCTTTCAGAAGTAGTGTGCCAAGAGCGATGAGGCGCTTTTGAGATAGCTTCACCAATATTAGAATATTAGCCAGCATATGGGCGCACATTTATGCCCAGGCAGTTTGTCTATATAACCTATTTTGTATTTTGAAGTGTATTTTTTTTAGATTTTACGTTTCTTGTTTGCTTATCTTCTTACTTTTATTTACTCAGAAATCGAATACATTGCATATATTCTTGATGAAAACGGAAGGAAACATACTTTTCAAAAAGAAAAACTCTTTCAAATGTACCTCCGAAAAAGCCACCGAGCATTTCACAATTACAATGGGATAAAGTTGAACTACATGATATTTATCTTTAGAAAATTCAGTTGATAGTGGGCGTTGGTGTTCCCTTGATCCTTTGAGCGTGCGTGCGTGCGTGTGTGTGTGCGTGCGAGTGTGTGTGTGTGTGCGTGCGTGCGTGCGTGTACGCCCACCACTCGTTTGCACGCCCACCGTACTTTATTAATCCAAGCTCGCGCATGCATATATTGATAGTTAGTGTGGCACGTGCAAAACGTTATGTTGACCTCTTGTACAATTACGTTGCTAAATATCCTGTAAAAATCAGCTTTTTATACCTCTTCAGCACGTGCAAGCTTAGAGGGAAAGAAGGAAGCGGGAAGACTAAATGGTTTTCGCACCCAAGGCCCGACCCGTCTGCTTTATACATCGAGCGACGCTGTCAGGCATTGAGACATAGCGCTATAGTTCCGGTTTCAAGGAACAGGTTCACTTCTACTGGTTGCTGGGTATCCTCGAACGAAGTGAGGTTAACGTGAATGTTCGTATTCATTGTCTTTCACCAGTTTTTTGCACTCGACAAAAGTTGATTGAACTGTAAAGAACTCCTATTTTGCTCATTTGTCTTTATTCATCATTTTGTGAATTCTGAATCGGGCGAAACGCGCGAAGACGTGTTTAGCACTTGCCTCTATTGGCTGACCTCGCCAGTTACGTCACGAAGAAAATGTTTAGTTTGTGAACTATTTTGAGTAAGATATCCGACAGTGCCGGCAGTGGTGTAAGCCGGGCTGCCGCTGCGTATCACCATGCGAGAACACGTCCCGTGGAAGGTATATAGGAAGTTTCCGCCCCCTGGCAATGCATATCGATGCAAATCAATGAACCTCGCGCGACAAAAAAAGGGATACTCGCACACAGCCTCTTCCCTGCACTCGGTCTCCTCGCCGCACATGGTGGACACGTTCTTGAAGCCACACGACTCATCACAGCACTGGCCTGCCGACGGGCTGCACACAGAAGGTCATTATAGATACAGATGTTTACTGCATACGAGGCCACACTAGTTAACATTTGGTTACTGTGACGTATATGTGGTTGTGATTCACCGCATATGTCAGGTGAGCCACGGCCTCCGAGATTGCGGGCGTGTAGCTTACTATGACGTATATGTGGTTGTGATTCACCGCATATGTCAGGCGAACCACGGCCTCCGAAATTGCGAGCGTGTAGCTTACTATGACGTATATGTGGTTGTGATTCACCGCATATGTCAGGTGAGCCATGGCCTCCGAGATTGCGGGCGTGTAGCTTACTATGACATTTATGTGGTTGTGATTCACCGCATATGTCAGGTGAACCGTGGCCTCCGAAATTGCGAGCGTGTAGCTTACTATGACGTATATGTGGTTGTGATTCACCGCATATGTCAGGTGAGCCATGGTCTGCGAGATTGCGGCGCGCAGCGGGTTGCGCGCCCGCAATCTTGGAGGCCATGGGTGAGCGAACGAATGCAAACGGCGTAAGTGTTGAGAGTTGTGAGACAGGAGCGTAGCCGAGGGGAGTGAAGCATTTATTTCACGAAATTGTTAATTTTGCTTGCGTATATACACAGGCACACATAAAACGCACGCACGAACATAAAGTATAATTTAACCTCTACCCTTCCACGAAAAAAAAAAAATTGCTGGCTACGCTCTTGTTCTCCTCATACTACTCTGACCATCCTTAAATTTCGCAGCACTGTATCACGCCGACACCTTCGCTATTATGGTATACGGTACACTATAAAAACAAGAGGCGTAATTTGGTGAGTTTTTGTCCCACACCGATGATCGTCATCTATCTAACGCACATTTACTTGCGTCATCAAAGCTCACCCGGTTATTCGCTGTCACGAAAGGCGTTCGCCTTATCAGCGTGACGTAGCATACGTGACAAGTAATAATAATAATAATAATAATAATAATAATAATAATAATAATAATAATAATAATAATAATAATAATAATAATAATAATAATAATAATAATAATAATAATAATAATAATAATAATAATAAATCAAATCAATGAATAATTTATTTAACGTGCCAAGAAACAGCCATAAGGTATTCCTGCAGGCGCACGCTAAAATAAAACAATAAAAATACGCAATAGAATAGAGTCTATGAAAAATAAAAAAGAGCTGATACGCAAAGACAAAATCATCGCGAAATGATAAACACAGCACGAGATATATGAAATGGCAGTGAAAAGTTATGGGAAGTGCAGTGAAATGAAGTGCAGATTCGAGAAAGTTCGTGTCTGCTGCCGGCGAAGCGCGACAGCCTCCTGTCGCGTGAAGGATTCTGGTGAGAGTTGGCATTGCTGTCGTTGGCGTATGTAATGTTTTACGACTTCGTGGTTAGTAAGCAGCTGAGAATCTAGCTCCGTGTTGGCTGCCTCACTGTGCCGGGCTGCTCGGGGGGTTAATTCTCGAGTGGCCGCATGAGCGAGAACTAGCTGTTACCACTGGCACCGCCACCGACACGGTTGCGTAGTGCGCCGAGGTCACGGGCCGCCAAGGTTGTTCCGTAGCGCGTTTCTCAGCTCGCGGCTGCTTCCGCGCAGAGCTGACAGACGAGCGTACAAGACAACGGCGAGTTAAGGCAATGTTTATGTACAGCAGAGAAATAGAGGCGTTACACATTCAGCACTGGGTCCGACAGCTTAGGAACTCGAAGAGCCGATTTGTCTTCTTTCTGACGCATACGTCGGCTCCTTGGCGACGCACCGCTTGATAGGCTCCGAGTGAGCCTCTACGTCAACAACGTCCAATCAGATGCGCAGTTGGCCGTTATGTCAGTCCTATCAGAAACCGCTGCTGGGTTGCACTCGTGGATGTTGTCACGCATTGCGTAAGACTAGCCAGACTGGATGGCACCTATTGCATCCCCGGGCTGCTATCGGGCTCGTGGGTTGATGGAGCTCGCCGTGCGTTGCATAAGAGAGACTGGCGCCGCCGGGCTAGATGACGTCGTTGAGTTCATGGAGTCAGGTGGGCTCGCTCACTGGTCTTTACACAGATTGCCTTTGCAGAGGCAATGACGTTCAATCTGAACTCTCAGCCGTAACACAGAACCAAGAACGCTTATCTAGTTCGTTTGCTCGCGCATCGTGGCATGTGGCTCTTATTTTACGAAGATCGGCTGGATGTGCCTTTTCTTGCACTTGCGCTTCAGTGGCTCAAGGTCATTGCGACGCGATAAATGACCTTGCGAGACAAAGAGTAGCAGAGCTTTCGCTGTGAAATATGACGGTAAACAAGTTGCATAATGTGACTACGTGTGTTCGCGCACCTGCAATTAGCTCCGGCCCGTAGAGTGCACCCCGCGGCACCGTCGACGTTGTGTCTAGAGTGGCAACACTGGTCAGAGCAGTCGGCGTCTTGGGAGCCGCAGTCACACTGTTCTCCTCGCTCAACTACGCCATTGCCGCATATAGGGCCACTGTGAGCTGAGAGCACAAAGTAAGACACGTTAACAGCCATCCAATAGGGCATAAAGTCACACGAAATATTGTGAGCGCCATAGGAGATATATATATATATATATATATATATATATATATATATATATATATATATATATATATATATATATATATATATATATATATCATTATGCCTTGAAAAAGACGGGGTTCTCGTCGAAACGTCGGCACAATAAACAGTTGTTATGTGAAAGCGCATCTACTTTAATATTTATAACCTTGCGGCAACCGAAGTTATTCTTCTGCATATATATATATATATATATATATATATATATATATATATATATATATATATATATATATATATATATATATATATATATATATATACATATATATATATATATATATATATATATATATATATATATATATATATATAGCAGTAGTATATATCAGTCGGAACTATTCTTCCAAGGAATTTTTGATGAAAAAAAAACGGTAGTGTTATTGAGCACGAAACCTACGGATGTGCACACTACTTCTATCTAATTATTTCCCGCAACTCGCTTTCACGGTGAGCTTGAGCATGCATCCTGAAACTCCAGTTGCTGTTGCAGGCCTGCTGGTATCCCAAACCTTCAGAGACCATTCAGCCATTATGTAGCCTACCGGCTCAAACAATTAAGGCTGTCATCCAAGTCCGTGTCAACAAATGCTCTTAAAAATCGACAGTGGATTGCAATAAAAGAAACTGAAAGGCAACCTTTTCTTTGATGAAATATGCTCAGTATAGTAAATATTCGCTCATTGATGTAAACGTTTGATGATGTTGATCCACCTTGGCCACCAGCCCGCCCTTAAATGACACACGTCCAGCAGTTAATGGGCTTACCAGTGGTGAAACGGCTCCCTGGGTCGCTCTAAGGCCAACATTTTTCTTTCCTCGCTATTTCTCTGAGCCTTAGGCGAAATGCCTATTCCGTTATCTCATTTGGAGCATCGGATTGAATTCAGCGGTGTTACTGCACACGTCATACGTTCAAAAATTGCAGACCCTGTAAAGCCTATTTGATGCTAAACATACGCATACAGTGGTGCTTCCTGGCAGTGCATATTTCAAGGAACAGCGCGAACAGGGACCGGAAAACCGAAAAATATGCAGACAGCATTGAGCTGCAGGTTTCAACCCACCGCATATATATACCACGTTCACTCAATGTGACCAGTCACTATAAGTACAAAAAAAAAAACGCAAGATGCTTATATAGAAAGTGAATTGCATTGATATTAATAGCCAACACTCGAGATGAATGAAGCTGACGCAGTTGGAAGACACCTGCGTCAGTACCCCGCCAATATCGTTATCCTACAAGGAGCTGGAATTATCGCGCCAAAATTTATCGTTAACTGTATGTATAGTGCTGCTGTTATAGCTGTCATTGTGAACGTATCTGTGGCATCGTGTGTTTTCGCTACATAATCGTCACAGAACATGTTATTTACTGTATGCGGTGCGTTGTTTTGTTGCAGTAAGGCTGCTGAGAGTCAGCGTATATAGTGTGCGTCCAATCGGTTTTTCTTTGTGTGCGCTCGTGTGTTTGTGAGTGTGTTTGCGTGTACGTATGTGTTTGCGTGTTTATGTATGTGTTTGCATGGGTGTTTGTGTATGTGTTTGCGTATGTGTTTGCATGTGTGTTTGTGTGCGTGCGCACGTGTTTGTGTGTGCGTGTGTGTGTTTGTGTGTGCCCTGTTGCTTGAAGTATGATGAATGCCTTTTCACCTGCATTCATTGAGTGCCATTGATACTGTAAGAAACTGATTGATATGGCGTAGAAGCGCGAACAGTTGAGCCAGTTGGCGTCATACTTTTTGGCTTTGAAGAGCGCGTTTTCCCGGTTTGAGCTGGGTTTTCGTCGATGTGTTACATCGTCATGTTTTAGCTCTTCAAACCCAAAACATGATTGATATATAGCTCTTTGTTGATATAGATCTCCAGTTGACGTATCAAGAATCAGTGACGCTTTGTATTGCAAGGACCACTCACCTTGCAGGCAGTTCTCGCGTGCGCTCTCGCCAGCGACCATCGGCGCCAGGACGCGGCCGATGCTGTTCCGGCTGCACTGCGAGAACTTGTCGTTGTTGGGCTTTTTGCCCTGAGTAGGCGAAGGGAACATGATGTAGTTTCCTTCGTCGCCACAGGGGCACAAGTTCCGTAGCAGAAACGTCCCGGGGGCGCGTCATGCTGCATACAAAAATCATCCGCTTGGGCGTGAGTGCAATAGTTGATCGAAGAAAGGCATGCGATTATTTCAGTACCTTCTCTTAAGCTCGCCTATGAATATTTCATGTCTGCTTGGAGACAATGCTCTTACAAACAGGAATAGCTGACAGAACGGCATCTGGAAGCGCAGTGATTGTCCACGTTTCCAGCACCATGGTACGCACTTCAACCAATACCATTTTGTGTTAATGACGAAATATGACAGCGTTTGAACGTGTGAGATGCACGCGTACTACGGGAGCGTATGCAATTTTTTTTTTTGACGGTATGACGGCCCCGCCGCGATGGTCTAGTGGCTAAGGTACTCAGCTGCTGACCCGCATGTCGCGGGATTGCATTTTCGATGAAGGCGAAAATGCTGATTCCCGTGTGCTCAGATTTGGGTGCACGTTAAAGAACCCCAGGTGGTCGAAATTTCCGGAGCCCTCCACTACGGCGTCTCTTATAATCATATGGTGGTTTTGGAACGTTAAACCCCACATATCAATCAATCAATAAATTTGGACGGTATGACGTCCCCTATGGCTGCAAAGGTCACACTAGTACAGCAAAATGAAAGCCAAAAGTGCCACTTTCTTCTACATGCCCGTCACTGAATCAGATTCCATATGGTCAAGAATCTAGCACTTGGGTCGGGGCGCTTGCTTTAATCAGACATCATTTTCGGCGAGATAAAGTGCATCTGTGGATTGCACGAAGCAATAGATATCAAGAAAATAAAGCAGAACAATAAACAGAGAAAACAGGTAGAAGCAAAGCAGGCATCCATTGTATTACTTCTGTTAAGAGTGCATTCAGATTCCATGGTTTGGTCCGCATGTACTACATAGGCAACAAAAAAAAAAAAGCTGCAAGTGTTGCCGAATCGGCAACCTTTCACACGACGCCCGATAGGCTTATTAAAAAAAAAAGAGGGAGGAAAGAAAGTCCTCCTCTGTACGCCCCTGATAAAAGCAGAAATTCAGCCCTGATATGGCGTTTAGTGAAATAAAAAAACAACAAGGAAAACACGTGGACAAGCATCCACTGAAATTAGCCCATCTTCATCTGTCCATATGACCTTTGTGCTTTACACACAGAAAGTCTCCTGTTCCTTTATTATTATTTTTGTGATGATAAGCCAACTCGCGCACTGCGCGAAGCACCACAATATAAAAAGCACATGCATCCGCAGCATACTTCACTATTTGTCAAGAAAAAAAAAACCTTCCACAGTGCGCAGGTTGTTTGAAAAAGGGAAGAGCGTGAGACAAGACGCTACAGAGTTGAGTGTGTGCGTTGTACGCGTTGAAAAGGTTTGCCTTGTTCGACATGTCAATACCAAGCAGCTGAAACAGCCACCCCGACACATCAGCCGACTGACTGCGCTTTTCCAAGTTAACATATCAAAGCACATTTGGTGGAGTATTGCATCGCGTACGTCGGCGCCAAAACTGTGGCCGAGCTCATGGCAGAAGACCATCTCGGAGACCGCGGTCGCCACGAACGAGTTGTGGTTGACGAAAGTGAGCACGCCGACGTTGGTGCTGAGTCTGAGCACCTCGGTGCTGCCGCCAACCGATACTGCCGATGGTCGAGCCTTTTCGCAAACGCCGCCGTAGTTGCCTGCATTATTGAGGAAGCACAGCGCCATCTAGGGCGCCGACAAAAAAAGCGGTACACAAAGCTAGCTTCGTATTCAGAAGCATTATTTCAGGTGCGAACACAAACTTTTAGCACGTGCCTCTTTCCAGCGCCGCACTTGCGCTGCTACTTTCACTGTACCTTATCGTGCATCTAACTTCGTGAAAATATTATTTTCGACGCCGGTATGCAGTTGTTAGAGTGATCTGCGCGCTGGCGCTGTGCTCGCTTGCACTGGTTCAATAGCAAGGCGTGGCTAAAATCAACCAATCTCTGTAGCCGACTCATTTTGGTGACGAAATCAAGGACATACTGCTTACTTTTCAACTGACTGCAACATTAATGCACCAAATTGACATTACGACATTAAACTTGCGCATACGCGAAGTTGCGTTTGCCTAAACAAAGTGTATAAGAATAATTTCGCGCGTCGAAACCAGACGTGTCGGCCAACATTTCGTGCAGGCTAAACATGCTTCTGTCAAATCCTTACAGTAACGTAAAGACTGCTCGTTCGTTCCCATTTGGTGAGCCATCGAAAAAAAAAAACATATTTGCAACTTGCGCTGCACCTTTATAATACAAGACTACTGGTTTTACAGTTCCCGTTTTCTATAACTCGCGCGCAAGACAAGTGTGGCGACATTTCTTCAGCGCCTCTTTTGCTTTGTTATATCGTAGTACGGAATGTCCCAGATAAGTTTAGCCAAGCTCAGACAAAAGAAAAGCAAAAAAATGCACAATGTATGTAGCGGTCATTAGGGAGTTTTAGAATAGCGCACCGCGAGCCCTTGCGGTGCGGTCGCTGCCACTGCGCATGCGTCGTAACGCGAGTCGGCGTTCGCGGACCGCACGCAGAAAATCCGAAATTGCGTGTGGTGATGGCGGCCCGCATGTGGCCCGCAAGCGCTGGTTTCGAGGCTATGGTGTCGCTGCGATCGTGCGTTGCGGTTCGCAGCAGGGCAAACACCATTCTAAAACTCTTATGGCGCCCGCAGCGCTTGCAAACAGTATTCTAAAGCTCCCTATTATACCTATATATGGAGCTCAGTTTATTCACTTTGGCCAGAAATTCTCTGATTGCGCATGACCGCTTCGTCTGATCAGAAAAAAAAAAACAACGTACGTTCTGCGTTGGCGACCCAGGCAAGGCCCAACACGCCGCCAAAGAAGTCTCGGTAGGTCCACGTGTACGAGAGGCAGAACTCGTCGTGGTTCGAAAGCGACGTCAGATGAAGCAAGTAGCCGATGTCGGCAGCTGGGGCACAGAACGGGTTCTTCTCATCCGAAGTCTTATCGGTGGCGCAGCTGAGCGAGTCGTTGATCTGCGCACAAAAATGTCTTCTCGAGTAACTACGTGGATGACATGTATGAACAACTCGCGATGGTTAACGATCGTGATTCTCGGTACATCTACAAAAACTGTCTCAGTGATCGGCAGTTGGGAAAGCTTGGGCCTACTTTTTAGTTTGTGTAATGTGCGCGTCTGTTCCGCCGGTCTCTGACCAGTTAAGTGCAGTTCAGCACACGATAAGAACAGCTGACTCTGCAGTTGTCCTGCAGACCATAACGACACTATCATCCCCTCCACAGTGGAATGTCTGATATGTGGCCACAAATTCATCGCAGATTACAGCATTTCGATTAGATCTGCAAAAATTTTGAGAAACACCCGCTTCTTCTTCTAGCCTTATGTATGGTGCATAAACGGCAACACCCGATATCGGAAGAAAAATGTGGGCCCGTAACGTAGGCATTGCAGTCGAACAGAGCGTCTAAGTCACGTGACCTTAAGCGCTATTTTCCCTCATCTTACTGGCCTCAACGCGGGATATTATTGGTAATCGTAGGCTATAGTGAGGCTAATGGCGACTAAGTTATGCCTAAAAGTGCTTGGTAATCGTGGCATTTTTGTTTTTGTTACTGGATGGCCTTCTAGCATGCAAGGTACCCTAATCCTCTGCACTGTGAAGCTGATGTCCTCGACACCCCCGAAGTCGACTAAGTTATGCCTAAAGTGCTTGGTAATGGTGGCATTTTTTGTTTTTGTTACTGGATGGCCTCCAAGCATGCAAGGTACCCTAATCCTCTGCACTGTGCAACTGATGTCCTCGACACCCCCCGAAGTCGACTAAGTTATGCCTAAAGTGCTTGGTAATGGTGGCATTTTCGTTTTTGTTACTGGATGGCCTCCAAGCATGCAAGGTACCCTAATCCTCTGCACTGTGCAACTGATGTCCTCGACACCCCCCGAAGTCGACTAAGTTATGCCTAAAGTGCTTGGTAATGGTGGCATTTTTGTTTTTGTTACTGGATGGCCTCCAAGCATGCAAGGTACCCTAATCCTCTGCACTGTGAAGCTGATGTCCTCGACACCCCCGAAGTCGACTAAGTTATGCCTAAAGTGCTTGGTAATGGTGGCATTTTCGTTTTTGTTACTGGATGGCCTCCAAGCATGCAAGGTACCCTAATCCTCTGCACTGTGCAGCTGATGTCCTCGACACCCCCCGAAGTCGACTAAGTTATGCCTAAAGTGCTTGGTAATGGTGGCATTTTTGTTTTTGTTACTGGATGGCCTCCAAGCATGCAAGGTACCCCAATCCTCTGCACTGTGAAGCTGATGTCCTCGACGCCCCCGAAGTCGGCAGCGCGGAACACGTCCGAGGCTCGCGCCACGTGCTGTGCCACCATGGCCGTGATGCGTTCGCGGGCGCGAGCGCCATCTCCGCGGGCGTCGTCCAGGAAGTGCGCGTGCAGCAGGTGGTCCACGTTCACCTCCAGGTTGCACCCGCGCCGCTCCCGCCCGCCTTGCGCCCGCGTCGTGTTCGACAGCTCGCCCGTGGAAGAGAGAAGGCGCCGCATCGTTGCTCTGTCGGAACGTTGTTCGGCTGCCTGGATGCACACACGCCAGCTCGTGTCGTTCAAGACTCCGAGTACATGCCCTGTCCGCGGAATGCTTTCAAGTCGCGGGCCTATGACAGCGGTAGACTGAATGTTCAAGTGAATCTTCTTTGAATGAAAACAGCGAACAAATCAAGGCGCGCCGAACGACAAGCAGACCCGCACGGCGCTCACTTTCAACACATTTTTTTCCGACACCAATCAAGTCGTAGAGAATGGTGAAATACTTTTAGCTCCAGTTATCGGCGAACTTCGCCTGACCTTGAGCCTGAAAAACAGGGTCGTTATCCGGGTACAGAAACGAGAACGTCCGGGTATCCAGCCAAAACATTAAAAATGATGGACGCTCGAGTTTCGGCTTCAAGAGTATTACGCGATAAGCGTTACCGGGTGCCGCACCCATCTCCTTCAACCATGCCTTTAGAAAAGGAACGTCTGTGCACTTGGCCCTTTCAGACTATTCTACAATGCCTACTACAAATACAGGTGTGAACTGACCACTACACCATAATTTTTTTTTTGCAAAGTAGCAAAGTACCCGCTAAGCCCCTGTAAGGTATAGCACATGCACCCGCACAATTTGTAAAGACTGGATGCGCAGATCGAAAACGTTCGATCCTGACGCAGTTCACACGTTTTGACATCTGGTTCTGTTCTACGACCCTGCCACGCAGTATTAGGTGCATTAAGACTCATCCCACAACATAATATTCTTATAGAGTTCTCTTACGCAGCAGCTTCAAGCACTGGAGTTGTCCGTTGTAGAACGCAGCTGCTTGCCTCGGAGAAAGCATGGGTTTATATTTTCAGGCGGAGTAACAATTTTCTGTTATTTATTTTTATATATAACGAATTTGCACTCACGGACAACGCTGGTTTTACGCCGACAGCCGAATTTCAACACAGAAGCTCTGTGACGCTATCGCGTGAAAATGAGGCCACTGGAACCCGGCCCTTTGTCCCGTCGCTGAAGCCACAAAAGCTGCCTTAAGTGGTCACGCTGCCGGTGCTTCACCTCGGTTGTCTCGACCAAACACCGCTGATTGTGGCCAGCCATGCTACCTTTAGGTCCTTCATCTGCAAATGTTTGTCAAAGTTTTCATTGACTAACTGCTTGGTTGTAAGTGACGAGAACAGGAAACCGCGCGTAGAGTACTAGGTATAGTTGAAGCACCCAGGGCTATACAGCGACGCTATACGCTACATTGCAACCCGTGTACCAAGTCACGTGGTTCAGTGACTTATTACTCAAGTGGCTCATTATTTGGCGGGTGAGAACACTGTATCCCATGAGTAGAAACGAATGTGGCACCACCGCCCTTTTCGTTCAACAGCTTGTCTGTGATGGCGTTACACCTCCGAGCGCATTGCGATCGGCGTATCTACACAGGAGTGTAAACAGTGCTCACAGAGTGCTCGGGAGCTCGCATGTCCATCCACGTTCGGACGTCGTCCACGAGGCCGCACATGGCGGGCATCCTCACGTCTTCCTCCGAGTACATGAGCGAGTGGAAGGACGGCTCTGCGCGGCCACCGAACAGCTTGCGTGACCGCTCCATGTAGAAATTCCCTTGGCGAGAGCGTATGGAGCCTTCGAACACTCCGCTGTGGAGGGCGCCAAACACGCCACTCGAAGGGTCGCCTGCGATCATCGATGGACCGGCGGGTGCTCTGCATTCCCCGAACCCTTCTTTCGAGAAACTATTTTTGAACACTTCAAGCTGCAAATCAGCTAGGCTTGAAAGAAAGTACAGGGGCAGCTGCGCACAAACGGCGCGATGACTGCGAAAACTGGAGCTGGTGGCTTTCCCTTCCTTCTTTCTATTCTCGCCACACATTCATTTCCCACCAGTTGCTATACTACATTACAATATATAGGGTGTGTTATTCGCTACCTTCTGACTTTCTCTCCCCCACCCCAACACCATACACTTTTCTCTCCCACGCCCTTGCTAAAGTGTACTGAACACGGTTATGCCTTGTTATGCTATGCGTTTTCTCTCTGTTTGACGAGCAATCGGTGGCAGGCCTTGCACCGGGGGTGATGCTATCACGTGCACCCTTCGTGCGACGGAGATGAGCGGCTCGTTTCTCCTTTGCTTCAGCCGCTGTTTGTCGCATGTGCTCGCGTGCTTTTAGTTGCGGGTAGAACTTATACATTGCATGAGGTGATGCTATCGATTAATGGGATTATGACGGCAACATCGATGGCAGGAACCCGTCGTAAGTGACAATACAACTGATATGACAATAAAATTATGCACGTCGAAGACTCATAACTATACCGAACATTGTGGCTGCGCTATAGTGGTTATTGCGTTTACTCACGCAACAAAAAATGCGCAATTTCTTCTGGTCAAAACTTCAAAAAAAAAACACAACTTGACTACTGACAATGTCTCATCGAACGCGCCTATAAGGAGAGCATCGCAAAAAGAAGGAGTAGCTGAATTAATTTTTTTTCGTAAGAGGCCTGCTCTAAACCCGAGTTTATATATATATCAAGCGAGTGTCTCCTGTGAATCCAGTGATGAATAGAAATTGGCTTGAGCGGACAAACGTGCGAAAACTTTTATTGCTCCTAAGTTTCGGCCGGGGTCCGGCCTTCGTCAGGATATATATATAAAACTCTAAAATGCTGTATGTTAACAGCCCCATTTCCCCGCATGTTCACCAAGCTGTGCTTCGTCAACTTTCTTTTGGTTTATTCCGCTTCTCCTTGCGCAGGCACGGCATTCTAGGTAGAAGTCACATGCATGAACATTTCGACATATATATCGCTGCTGTAGGCTCGATGAAAACGACTATTGAAATTTAGGTGCAATCTGACTTTACTTTCTCGGTTCAATATTTCCGATTCATTTTTGACCAATTATTTTCTAGCAACATGAACTAATAATCCTTACTTTCTTAGTGATGTCGAACTAAATTATGAAAGCCAGCCAGTAAATGTCTTAATAAATGATTTTCCGCAGTACTGTAGGTACAAAAAAAAAAAAACATCGGAAGCAAATACATTGCGATACTGACCAACCAGTTGTCCGCTGTAAATGTGGCCGAGATCTGGTCTAATCTTGCCCAACGTCTCCGTCTCGAGAGTGAAGTCTTCGTGAAAGGAGGAAAGGTCTGGCTGCATTCTCAGTATGAAGTTTCTGTGGTGAATCGACAATGCCTGTTACTTGAAGGGGCTGTGACACGGCCACCAAACAATTTGTAGCTTCCAGCGAAAGCAGGAAGGAGAGGTTCGATTATGCCCACACAGATTTAAAAATGTGGGTGGTAAACTAATATTTCAGTGCGGAACAAGCCCTAGAAGTTGGAGGCTGCAAATCTGACCCCCCGCCGGTGACCGTTGGTCATGGCGCCTGTGACGTCACAGGCAGCAAGGAGCGGCGGTGTATGCAATATGTATACAACACCGCATGTATGCAATACTTTACTTTGATTTTTAAGTTTTCATCACTGAGCATCAGCAAGCCAGCCCCGCTGCAATCTTGACGAGTCAACACAGTCCCACTAAGTTTGCGATCCCTGCGTACTGCGTGCAGCCTGAATCGCCGAAATCCCTGTTGGGGTCACTGGAGGACAAATTTGCTCACCGTTGTTTACGTGCACCACTAGCAAATGACACATCTGTCACTATAGTAAGTTGCGAGGTACTGGATCTCCGTGACGTCACGCTGCCATGACACGTCACTAAAATGCCACCCTCTCGATATCAAAACCAAAAGTGTTTTTTTTAAGGTATCGATATTAAAAACATATTCGATGCATGCCCAGGCACCATAAAACTCTTTCTAGGGTTCTCGACAGTAGTGTTTTCATTTATAACGGCAATAAGAAAATGTTTAAAATTCGCGTCAGTACACCTTTAAGCGCTTATGGAAATGCCCAACAAAGTGTGCGATATGTATGAGTGAGCGTTATGAATACATGCTCAATCAGCACCAGCATTGCGTTGTCTGAGGTCACTGTGAACTCACGGAAACACCACTGTTCGTGGATATTCTTGAATATTATTGGACGTTATTCGATTATATGTTGTACGAGAAAGCCTATACTTGTCGAAGGCCCAGAAGCGCAGGAAGACGGCGCCTTGCTGATGTTGCCGCCGCTGCTGCTGTAGAGACCTCCTGAGGCGCACGTGTTGACGCTGAATACGCAGTGGTTCGTACCACAGCGGCTCAAAGTGGGTCACCCACTCGTTGAGTCGGCGGGCTGCGGGGCAAGGAAGGAACAACCTCGCATGTGTATGACGGCAGCATCGCGTCTGCGGCTGTTAGCCTCAGTGATTGCTAGTGGTATACCAACAGGAGTCGCAGTGACTGAAAACACAATCGTCCGTTTTCTTTACTTTGCAAACACATCCCAGAAGTCACACAAGTGTGGACACACCACCATAATCTGTAATGATTTCCACATTACGTCAATGTGCAAGAGTCAATTAAGAGAAACAAACTGATTGACATCAGCTCATCAAGGAATATTAGTTTTCACAGCGCACCGATCTTTCATTTACTTCCCGATGTGAATTATAGTGGCGTAATTCCTCAGTGAGCACGATTCAGCCAAGTATGCAGTGCATGCGATGCAGAAACTTCAGTGACGCAGTTGCGTGCCGCTCCATGTGAATGAATGAGCAGTCGGAGCGTCACACGATATACTGGACTAAGCCACATAGCTTCTGTATCCTCAGTTCATTTTAGCAAGAACGCATACTGCCAGCCTAAATTGCTTGAAAGGAGCAGTTTGAGTGCGAGCGAAGGCTTTTGTGAAGGGGAACACGAACTGCGAAAGGACTGAATGCACCCTACGCACTTCGCTAAGAAGACTAATCGCGGGAGAGAGGTGTTACGGGCTACGGTCTGCGTAACTATAGTGCGTATACGAAACAGGGCAGCCCAGCAAAAGTTCCACCTCTGAAACTTACCGCTATGTTTTACAGCAATCGCGATAGCAAAACATGTGGGAAGATGCTTCCACTTGCTCAAAACACGGTATTTCCGTCGCATTCACTTATATTCGCAGTTCACTTAAGAAAAAGAACGCGTATTGTTTTCTGTGATGAACGACGTTTATGCTTATTTAATAGCGATAGCCGAAGCTTGGTTGACTAGCAAAATAGCAAACGCGGAATTGTTACACTGTCGCAAAAACAAAAATATGCTGTGTAGGCTAGATTTGGACCGTCTCTAAAAGTATATTTTTCTTTGCCGGTTTTACTTAACGTCTATCGTCATTGCTATCATAAACAAGCTGTCAAAACGTGCATTGGTCCTTTAATGAAACTTGATGTCATTTTTTATCTTTTGCAAATACCGTGATCCGAATTTTTTTTTGTGATACGAATTTTCGCAAAAATGTTTTCGGTTCGGCACTAGACAAATTTCACCCACATCCTTGATTCCTGTTTGGGTGAAACAAAGCGGCTTGTACACAAAAATCGGTGGTTTAGAAGCTTGTCCGCAATTCGTGTTCCCACTTTTGTCGACACTAGAGCTAGCTTTCATTTTCGCGATCACATACGCCACCTGGTGCGACAGACATGCTCGAGATTTCACCTAGATTACATTATAATTCATTACCCCTGTTCCTTTTAGCACAATATTCTTGTTTCTTGGGTATCGCCTATTGTTAAGCAAATGTCATTCAAACTCTTCTAGACCTTTATTGATCATTTATAGCGTAAACTTTCTTTTTGTGCTCTTTTTGAGCAAGTTTAGCCAACCGTGATAGCTTTACTAGTTCACCTCACGTACCTGACAAGGTATTAATGATTTAGATGTGAAGCACCTTATGCATGAGCTATGTCAGCGTTTCCTGTCTTCACAGTGTGTCATGTAGTGACGGTTCATCATAAAGGCAATTTGCCGCGATGACGTCGTCCTGTCATGGCGTCATGACGACACAATGTCCACAAAATTTGTGACGCAATCATGACGTGTCGAAGCACCTCAGGCGGCTATTTGCTTGTCACGGTGTGCCATGGTGCGCCACAAAAATGGGTATTCAACACAAAAATTTGGTGGATCGCGCGCAACTCACCAACGTTCTACTAAAAATGAATACGGCAGCAGGGAGCCCAGCAAATAGAAGACGACGTTAGTGGAGATGAAACACCCTTTTCTGCATGCCTCATTCCTTTCCAGTTTTTTTTTTTTCACACATATATATTATAACTGCGCTATCCCAGAAGTCATTTTCCATTGCCACGAGAATTTTTTTTACAAATCTCTTCCCTTCTTAAAGAACTTTGGCAAACTTATTTTTCACCCGGATTGAAAGACAAATAGCTTTATAACTTGTTATAGCAGTTTGTTAGTAGCAAAAAGCAGTGCACATAAGCGCACCGAAACAATGCGTTATGCCGCGTGTGCCTTTGTTCGGTAAGACTCACATTTAACGAGTTATTTTACAAGGCGTTCAAGCTACACGTTCATGTTTTGTGTCTGCTGCATGATCATCGAATTGACCTCGCACGATGAAAATGATGATGTTAAGCGACATGTTGTATCACATTGTCTTGCATGGCGCTCGAAATATGAGAGAGGTAATGTTCGGTTCGCTCACAAAGTTGCTCTCGGCAGTGATTGTTTTGAGCTGCACTCACCTTCGGCTGCGACTACTGCGGTGAGAACGAATGCGTACGCCA